GGACCTTGATCCTTAAGAGCCATCGTTGAAGACCTGTTCTTTAGGTAAACTGGACACCCAATGGCTTCTACCCAGAACCCGTCCCCAAACTTAACATTATGCCCCAGCGCAAACACATCACCCTTACATTTCGATACGATTTTACCGTTGTCCGCAGTAGTAATACATTTCGACGGAATCGTCTCGACATTTTCCAGGATGAATTTGTCCGAAGTCATGTGCGAATTCGCACCTGAGACAATAATCCAACTTTCATCACACATTTTTGCAGAGAAGGCCGTCATCAAACCGTAATTAATTCCTCCTTTGCCATTTGGCTTTTCTTGAGCTGCAGCGCCTGTGTTTTTATTGTCACTCTTCCTATTGTTCCGTTCTTGACACTGCCATTTATAGTGCCCTTTTTCTTGCACCTATGACATACTACAACCTTTTTGGTGCTCCTGCCATTCCGTGACATCAGTGCCGTTGTGTCTTCGTTCGTGCTTTTTCTCAGACTCTCTTTGAGAAGCGCAACTATCACTATCTCTGTCGAAATTTTAGCAGACGAATGCTCTAAAGTCATTACAAGAGGATTATATTCGTCTGACAATCCAGCGAGCATGATAATGCCGATGAATTCGTCATCTAATCCAGCTTTTATACTGTTCAGACTCTGCCTCGTAGACTGAATATCGTTCAAATATTCCTCCATACCTACATAGGCCGATAATTTGGCAGAAAATAACTTACGCAGGAGATACAAACGTCTCAGTTGTCTTCCATCAGCATAGGCTTTTCGCAACGCTTCCCAAGTGTCTCAGGCCGTAGTGCTTCGCATCACCAAAGGATAAATTTTCTCCTAACACATGAGCACAATCTTACTTCTGGCTTTCGCATCCTCCTTCTTAGCCTCTGTAGAAGTTGCTTTATAGTCCAACTCGACACATTCCCAGAGGTCCAACATTCAGTCAGCAACATTTGCATTGCAAAAGACCACGTGCCGTAGTTGGCTTGGCCAGCAAGTTTTTCAAAAGTAACGACCTGCATTTTAACACGCATTACACAATATTTTAGGACACATTACTCCAGGACACTTCTGGGCCTATAACCCGTTGGAATAATATGCAGAATACGCTTTGGATACACGTCCTTTATTGTGTATAGCACAAAGTGTTTAAGAGACATTACAAATTAACCATTAAAGAAAAAGCAACCATATTCTAATACAAGACAGCTAGTGAAATCAGCAACTTGTTACTAGGCAACCTAAAGTATAGGTAACATACTTTGTGAACATATAGGATTATAGCGCGAGTTTTTACTTCTTAAAAACAACAAGTTCCCTGCCTGCAGATTAGTTCCCTGAACGCTGTATCTTGAGCCTTTTCAAGGCGAGAGTGAATAGGTATTATATGATGTACAACTCCATCGTCGACCTCATCGTCATCAGATGAGATAACTATAGGTTATAGGTAAGAATAGCATAGGTGAAATCTGAAAATGAGCATTGCTGAGCTTCATCCTTTTTGTTCAAGTTACTATAATAATAATAACAATAACAATAACGAACACACTCAACTTAGCCCCGCACTAGGGAAACCCTACGTCGCGGCTGCCATGGACACACACATAGATAACCTACTTCCGTTATTGTTCCTTTGTTTTAAAGTTCGCTTAAATTATTTGGTATGTGTTTTGTAGATAAATAAATGTGTTCTTATTATTTTTATTTATTTATTTATTTAGATGGACGTCAAAGGGGTACCTACTTATTATATCCGGAAAAAAAATGTGGTACCTCCCTTATCCGTCATTGACTTGGGTATACTTATTTATAAATAAATATTTACTCTTTGTAATCTGTACTACAATTGTGAAATTATATTGTTTTCCATAAGTAGAGCTCACCATCCAACGTGGTGGTCAACGGTCTACACTCTCCTCAGAGGACAAACGGGCCCCTTTTCTTGATACTGTACACACGTGGACTGTTTATCATTACATTAGATAATGGTACATAGTGCAGGTTTTACGTATGATGCAGGGTGTGAAGAGCACTGCTGGCGACGCTTCCAAAGAGCCTACGTCACTCGCAGCCCAAACGAAGTAAACGGAGTATTGCTTCTCAACATCATTTGTAATTGCGCAATTTCCGATCACTGTGGAATTGCCTATTAGGATAGTTAGGGTACCACTTGAGCGCTACATGGGCTAGCGCCGGCGCTGCTAGTACATGGTTAAGAGCAGGTAAAACGTATCAATAAGATTTACTTCAACTTCATGCAGCTTATGATAAGAACAATCCAAAGTTGAAAGTGTCAAGTTTGATGGCCTCTTGGCTGTATAAACAAAGGTATGTATATATTTTCTTTATTTTTAGCATACATTAAATGTATGATAAAATAGATGTAAGTGTATGCATTAAAGGTAATTGCAACGATAAGCCGATAACCACAATGCATACCGGTGGCAGTATTTAGTGCAGCCAGCGTAACTTGCTACAGATATTATCTGCGTAACAAACATATTTCCTTTCGTAGTAAACGATACGTATCATGAAAGTGCATTACCGGATGCGAAGCACAATGCACTGATGTTACACTATGCAAGAATTTTAAGTCGTGTAATTAATTATTTGCTCTATGAATGTGATGACAAGTTGAGACGCTACATGTGTGCTAATAAATAGGGCGCTCTCTAAGTTTCCGGAACTGGCCACTTACATATACAATATTTTAAAAGTAATTACAACACTTAAAAATGGAACTCTTTGGCTATAGAATACAGTTTGTTTCATCTGACTGTCACCTGTTTTTACATTGTGGCGTCATTTTAGAAATTGGTTGTCTACGTCACCATGGATTTAACGCGTGAAAATTTTCGTAGTATGATTTTCTACGACTTTAAGTGTAATTCAATAACTCAGCGAAGCTTCGCTCTTCTTCAAAATGCTTTTGGCGATGAAGCACCATGCAAGACGACTATTTATAGCTGGTTTGCAGAATTCAAACGCGGTCGTGTGAATCTCAGTGACGAATTTCCGGATTGTCGCCCGTCCACTGCTGTGAACAACTAAAACATCGATACTGTGCGCCGTTTGATCAAAACAGACAGGCATGTAACATACCATGAGATTCGGGCATTTTAGGCATACGCATGAGTCAAACACAATCAATACTACACAAACATTTGGTTATGAAAAAGCTGTGCTCTAGGTGGATCCCACACAATTTGACTGAAGCCCAAAAAACGGATCGCGTCATTTGGTGCAATGCCATGCTTACTAGATTCAACGAAGGGGCGTCAAATTTGGTGTGAGACGTAGTAACAGTTCTCACACGGCAAGACAGACTGAATTTTTGAAGGTGAACAACGTTGACCTTATGAGCCATCCCGCGTACAAACCCGACCTGCACCTTGTGACTTTTATTTATTTTATTTATTTATTTCAAAAATCAAGAACCAGTTACGCGGTCAACGTTTTTCATCACTTGAAGAGGCTGTCGAAGAGTATGAAAAATATATTTCAGAGATTGTCACGGAGGAGTGGCATAAATGTTTTCAAAATCAGTTCATTCGTGTGAAAAAGTGCACAAACGCTAACGGAGAATATTTTGAGAAACAATAAATTCATTTCTGACCATTTATAGTATTTTTTTCTTATTCATTCCGGAAACCTAGAGTGCGCCCTACGTATTAATAATTCTTATAAAAATTTCCTATTCGAAGAATTTATTTTTCATCGGTGTGTAATGTAAGTCCTCAGTGTTTAAACTTGTAATATAAAATATTTTGAGGATATAGGTACGTCTACCTGAAAGCACTATAAACTTGTAAATAGTAATTTTTATTTTTTTAATCAATACAATGCTTACGATGCATTGTCTTACAAATAAATTAAGATGCTATTGGCCGTTCGTGATCGCCTGTTATGGACAGGCGTGAAGCTTACCATCAGACGCACGACTTGTTCGTCCCGTCACTTGATATTATAAAAAAAATATATCTAAATGAAAAAGTGTTAACCTTCTGATTTTTTTTATTTTGTCAGTCAGTGACTTATTGCATAAGGCCGACAATATAATGTATAGGAACGTAAGCGTTTCCAGAATATATTTTTTTTGGTGGTAGTTTCCTTTTCATACAATAAATGCAACGCTTATACATATTACTAATTTTAGAAAATAAAATAAAAACGTTATCAATTTCTTATTTTTTATTAATAGTTTTGGCTTGGATACACGTTCTTTGGGCCTTGTCTTCGTTTGGTTATCGGAATCCTCAGTAATATTTTCTATTGTAGTTCTAATTGTAATATACTATGTTTTCATTTTCTCTTAAATAACTTAGTTCACTTATTCGGGTTTTTTAAATAGCCTTTTAAGCGATGGGAGTCAATATTTATGTTTAACTTTCAGTTAAATCATATTATCTTCTATCACTTTGAACAAAAACTTTTAATTCTTAATTAGTGGAATTTTGAGAATAAAGTCTTTTGTAATTTGGTTAATAAGGATTATAGTTTTAACCATCTTCATGACTATTCCTTTCTTCGTTTAATCTTCATAATATTCTTAAAATAAAAATAATCTTTGTAAAAACTGTACTCGTACCTTAAAAATTTACCATTTTTTTGGTTTTTCATAACTCAAAAGAAAATGTTATTAATCATTGCGTAATGTCTAATGTGTAACGTTTAGCCCTTAGAGGATGGAAAAAAATAAAAGAAAGGAGCGGTAGCGGTAATAGACTTGTGATCGTATAGAGCATATAGCAATGTTTTATGATATTTTAGTTTAATTTCTACTGAAGTGACACGAAATGGTTTCAAGTTTTATTTTCATGATAGTCAGAAGTTTTTAATAAAATTAAACTCAAACTTATTTTCATTATTGCTTTGAATATCGTCATATGTACAGAAATATATTGTAATAGTGCCGATAAATAATGATAGCACTACAACGTTATTTTATGAATACTTTACTGGCAACAATTACGCTGCTGTCAATGTCAAGTGTAAGCATTTAAAATAACCTCATCATTTTATCAATACTTTTACCCGTCCATGGGATTGTTCTACAGCAAAATTTCTCGTTCTGCGAAAATGGCAAGTTCACCGGAAATTCAAAAGTTTATCAAAGATGCAGTTTCACAAGAAAAAGTTGTGGTTTTCTCCAAATCGTATTGTCCGTACTGCCATATGGCTAAAGAGGCAAGTTTTCTATTTTTTCTTTGTTTTAGAAATTTCCATTTTTTCCTTAAAGATACAACTGGATAATGAAAAAACGTTTGTCATTTACCTACTAATTTTTTATCGGATGTTAGGAATTTAGGATTATGTTTATAGATAGGCCAAAGTCCATTAAATTGTAATACATAAACTATTTTCAAATCGGTATCAAACGTATATACTAATTATTTTAAGATTGTTTATATATACGTATATTAAATTCTTGTTCTTTTAAATGCTTAGGCATAAATATTAAATTCGTTTTGAATTTATATGGCTAATGTCATTCCCAGAACTCGTTATTGTTTCTTTGTTTTGGCGGTAAAGGTGACAGTAGGCTTTGAAAGGGGCTCCTTTTCTTAGTTAATTTGTGTCATGGTGAGCTTACCGAAATAAGAGGCTGTAAATTTAAAAAAAAATTCTTCAATCTTCAAGTTCATAGATATAACCTCAAAATGACTTCATGACTCATTAAAGAACTCCTTCAAAGTGTCTTTAACTTGAAGGTGGCATTTAGTTAACATTTACTTAGTAAAATGAAATATAGACATCACTAATTTTAAGTTTAACCAAGCACAAGCATAATTTGTATTTCAGAAAAACAAAAACAACTCAGAAATGACTGTTATTTCTCTAATCCTAATAATAGAATCTGCATGTGCTACACTCGCTGATAATAGGCCTGTCATAATAGCTGTTTCCTGTTTACGTCATACACATGAAATAGCATATGTAACAGCTGCCAATCTAATGAGCTGGATTCCAATACCTAAGCCCACTTTACTATAAACAGAAAAGGTGAAGTGTGAAAGAGGGTATTTAGTCTGTATCCTTGAAGCATAAAATATGTAAACATAATATTTATTTGTCATTAATTGTATAAACACATCCTTTTCTATCGACTTGAATATATAATGAGTCTTATTAACAAAACACAGTTATTATTATAATGTTGTCAAAATTATTTTCCAGGTGTTCCAGAAAGTGAAGCAACCAATAAAAGTGTATGAACTGGACCAGCTTGATGATGGGTCAGCTATACAAGATCAACTTGTTTCTGTCACAGGATTTAGAACTGTAAGTTTGTTAATAGATAGAATAGATTGTTATGGACAGAAAATTAATCTAATTTCTAGCCCCTCTTCAGTAGAAACCAAACATTATTTATCACCATTGGAAAGACAAATGTTGTAATTGACCAATTAATTATGATCAACACAACAAATTACTTTTACCACTAAAAGTAACATTTTACCCTATAAAAATAAATTTATTTCATATTTAAAACAATACAAACATTTAATCTAGATGCATTATTAAATGTATAATTATATCTGCAGCATGAAGCCTACTCCAAGAAGTAATAATATGGTTGCAATAATGTTCCTATGTATATATGAAGCAAGATGCTTTTGTTGCAATTTTGATTGACCCCTGTACCTCTCAATATTTTTGAACAATGTAGAGTTTGCTATGGTATGTGTGGTTTGACGGGCTGATGTCCATAACTCGACACTTTTGGGTCTATTTTGTGTGTATTGAAAAAGAATTTGCGAATTAATTATGACTTGCTTTAATGATGCAAGAAAAGTCACACAATAACAAAATGGATATTATTTCACATACCTATACACTGACAAAATAAACATTACTTAAGAGTTGCTCTGCTTGAATCAAATTTTTGGTTAATTTTCCATGGATCGAGCGGCAGGGACACTGGCTTTATTTCAGAATAATTTTTTTTTTTCAAACCAAATTAAAGCCATTTGAAAAATACATATAGTATACTATACATGTTCTATTTAATTTAGTTTATATAAAAAAAAAGCATTTTATGTAAAGTAGCTATTGAATACAGCAGTTTACTTGTAAAATTTCAAGGTAATAATAATAGTAAAGTTGATAATTATAACAAACTGGTGGAGTAATTTCATAATAATTGAATATCAACTCAATAAAAATTTAAAATTTCAAGGTAAGTTTGTGGTTTTTTTTCTATGGTGAAAATTTTTACTAATCATGTTTTCACACTGTATAGTAATCAGTGTATATCCTCAATTTTACTACCTATATATTTTTTCCACACTGATTGATTCAACACTGTCACTGTTGTGCGGAATCAACCAAAGCCATATGAGGTTGTATAGACTTTTAAGTTGGATTATCTTATTAAAATTGTTTTGACATTAATATTACGTCACGCCAAGTTCCCGGTAGTAATTTTGTCCGTCTATAACAAACTAAGTATAGGCTAATTGCATTACATTTTGAAGTCTACCAAGGTTTGTTATTTGATGTCAAATAGAAAGTTTATTATTGATAAAAATACAGTAAACTTGCAAGTCTTAGGACCATGTAAAAGCATTAGGGATATCAGCAAAATAACCTTATTGCACTACTCAGAAGTAGTTTTATCCTTATGTGGATATCTTTGCTTGTCACAAAGCGACAAATAATACCTACTATATAGCATGACTTACAAAGTATTTTTCATGTTCAGCAAATGCAAAACATTGCAACAACATATATTTTTTATGTGTTATACGAGTATATTGGGTATACATTACTGTTTTTTTATGTCATAATGAGTACCGTGACAATCGACTATAAATACATTTCTGCAATTGTTAGTAATTTTGAAGTTTATGTTACATACTTATTAATCCTTTTTTCATTTTTTGTCTTGCCGCCTGACAAATAGTTTATGGTATAAGTTATATTTGATACTTTTTCTTTGTTCGTCGTGTATCTTGCTATCTGTCGAATGACTATGAGCGAATGGGTTGCGTGATTTGTGGCGTGTAGGGTCAAACTCTTTATGAGAAGATGCAGGGGCCATATGTGGCTGAATTTTCAAATTAGTTGATCCAGTTCTAGGAATCATCCTCGCCTTGCGCCTCCTGAGATGTCTTATTGGGTCAGGGATAGATTAGTTACCCAGTCATTGCAGTGATGAAATTGCTTTTTGTATTTAATGGACTAAGATCGATTTTCTTCGTCAACTGTGTTAACATTGAGGAAGTGACGAGTTTTTCCCTTGGCCATATAAATTTTCTCGCATTTATCGACCTCAGCTGTCGATTCATAGAGTTTTATCCGTGGCTGCCATGTTATTTTGCAAAGTGTGAAGCGACGGTAGGCGAGCAAAGGTCTGTAGTAAAATCTCGAAACACCTTTAACAAAAGCGACATTAGAAAAATAGTCTTTTTAAAATTTAAATTATATCCCAAAGTTCTGTGTGTATGGCATAGGCATAGGCATCCTCCAATTCCTTCTAATGTTTTATCTGTTTTAACTATTCTCCAGTTAGGTTCTACTGTTAATTTTTAATTCAATGCCTATGTTGTCGACCCCGACTTCACTTACTGTTTTTATTTAACATTGTATTACCATTTAGCTCCGTTTGCTATCCCCGCGGCGCATCATGTACCTTTTTTTTATCTTCATTTAATTTTAGGACTTTTGTTCTAGAGAACATGCCAGTCCTATCATAACCTTATTCTAATTGTCATGCAATTCACAATAAAACTTGTTTTTTATATTATTATTACATTGGAAGTACTACGTCAACTAATCATGTATCTTGTCATTTCCACTTTTAAAAACATGATGATTGTTATAATTACAGGTCCCACAAGTGTTCATCAATGGTAACTGTATCGGAGGCGGAACGGACGTGAAAGCTCTGTACGATTCTGGAAAACTAGGATCCATGCTCATCGGATAATTCAACCTGGAAAATTTTCGAACAAATGATATGTTAACCAGAACATCAAAAATATTTCTTTCAACATATCCTTATTTGTTTTTAGAAAAGACTGTCCACATTGTGACATAACCTCAGTTCAAAATCAATTGATCTCCACTTTCTCTATATGTAAAAGTTTTTAAAAACTTTATGTGAGTTTATAATATTCTGGTTTTCCTAAATCTTAAATTACGAAACTTAATATATTTTTATTTTATATTTATTCGATCCAAAATAAATGCTTAAGTTTTTATTATACAGTACTTAAAAAAAGGATAATCACTATTCAAAGTGAGTTTGTTGACTTCCTGTTTGACGTTTCTGTGGTTTACTCAAAACCATAAATTTATCTACCGTACGTGGCAGTGTTTTGAATAGACAATAAGTGTAATTTTGTTACATAGTGTAATATGTTACAATATACTCAAAAGTACAACTTACAAAATGTTCGACGTTATTATTATTATTATTCGGATAGCCTACTCCAGGGTCTATGTGACCCTATATTATTGCGTTACTTAGTAAATAAATGCATGTATTGGTTGATCAGACACTTTGAGAAAATACGATTTATATTCCATATTATGTCGCGTAGTCGGATAAAACTCTGTGGATCTTAGATGGCCTAAAGCCTTGTGTAAAGAAACAACGATTCAAGGATTAATGTGTCTATACTGGTAACTTAAAAAACACATTGCGTATTTTTTTAGTTAAAAGGTTCAAAACTGAGATCTCGATATTTTAATATATGTAAACTCAATGGTGAGATGAAGTAGCCAACAATTTTCAGAAAATATTTTTTGTTCCATAGAAGAATGAATGAATCTATTACTATTATTTAATAATATCTTTCAATGTACTACTTCTTTTAAAAATCGATCGAGTTTCTGGTCAAAGTGAGTGAAATGTAATTTCAGTTCATGTTTTAATATATTATAAAGATGAGATATAATTTAAAAATAAAACTTTGGAAGTCTTGTTTATTTTAGTGCATTTTTTTCATTTATTATCCAAAACGTAAATTTACTGTGGTTCTTAAATCTGACCCACTGAAATCCCTTTAATTGGTTTATACATATAGGTGGCTTCAGTAATCGTATAGCATAAAGCGCTTCCTTTTTAGAAAAAAATATACAAATTGCATAGTTTTACTAAATCTTGCAAGATTTGAAAGTGATATAATAAAATTTTATATGAATCCATGGAAACGGAAAGTATTCCGTAAACAAATATATTACTGAAGCATGATTTTTCAGTGATTTTAGAATTATACTTACTCGTGTATTATCAGTCACGCGGGTTTACTTTGCAATCATTGGTCCATTTTCTAACACCTTTCGTGCGGGTATCTCGCATCATAATAAAAGCAAAATAAAAGGATTGTGAGGAGGCAGTGCGAGCTATGATGAGATCCCTCGTGACAGAGTAATCGCTATTTGATTCTAAAACCAAATAAGTATACAATGTATGTACCTACTATATTACAAAGTTAACGCAAAAGAAAACAAAGAACCAATTAACCTTCATATAAAATATGTACCAAGCAGATTCAGAAGATGTATGTTGTTTTATTATTGACGAATGATTGGGCTTACTTTAATTATGTAAATAATGTTCGCGTCACCCTCGCGCCCCTCACGGTGTCGGCGCAACGCTGCCGTCTCAAATTAATTGTACAGATTCCCTCATAAATCCTTCAGTCGAAAGTCGACCTCCCTTTCGTAACGATCCATTAGCTTACAAAGTTTTTATGCGTATAGTATGTTATTGATATAATTTTATATAAAATTTTTGAAATCTACACTTTTTTAATGTATCTGTCTGTCGTTCGTATTATATATACATTTCTATGATGTTTAAGCTTCTGAAAAGATATCTATTTTTGATAGATATTAATTTTAGTTAGATATTGGTTTTCGTAACTACTCTTGATAATACGTTAAAGTAAAATACATCAGATGCAAGTCTCATTTGGGATGGGAAAGGTATTTTTTTCAAAAGATTTTGTGCTGAATTGCTCTTTGTATAAATCGTGTGTCCTGCATAAGTGAGAGGATAGCATAAACGGTTTATTACGAGCGCTAGATGAAAACATCAGGCGCTCTCAAGGCCACTACGTGTAGCCTGCCGAGGGGCGACTGTTACTCCCAAATATGGAACTGATGATACAATCTTATCGGAGCGCTTACTTCTAAAACAAACGTAGACTAAAACAGTACGTTTGACAATTCTAACTGAAAATTAGCTATTATTACAAAAGTAACACTACCATCACTCAATTTTGTCTTTGCATGCATAATTACTTACATATGCAAATTTTGAAAACGACTGCAGAAAGTACTATTAAGCTCAGTCAAGAACGAAAAATTGCGATCTCTTTTTAACAGTAAAGTAGTTTTTTAGCAGTAAAGTAGTACCTTACGTGAGCAAGTTGTAGCGCTAATTATGTTAAGTTGTCCTAACAATATACGAGTTCCTGTAAACTGTTCTTTCGTCCAATTACCACCGGCAGCGGCGTACCCTACGCGCAGTGCCAATATTATATCTCCTATGTCATTGATAAAAGCGTCGTTTTTGCCTCGACGAGAGAAGATTGTGCCAATTGCGCGGGTGTGACAAGGACAGTGTGTACCCTCGCAACCCCTATGTCGGCGTCTGTCCTAGCTGATCTTAGTTCCCCAGCCCTCCGCTAGTCGGCGCTGTGATCCCGCATTAACACAACATGCCACTTTATTCCTCGGAAATTCATGTAAACAAATCCTGAAAATTGAATAGTACTAATATTAATAGTTCCTTGAAGTGTCCTGTGATTTTTGAACTGTGTAGTATTTTTTAAATTGATATTTTTAAAATCTAAATGAACGGTTGAGGTATTGAAGGATATTTAGGGTAAGTGAAGCGAATTTCAATGTGTCCCTTTTTATTCTTAGCTAAAGACAATGAATTAATTACATTGGATTGAGTTAATTATCAGGTTTATAGTCTCTCGGGATATTTAGTAAATTAAATGTTAAGTTTGACCACACTCACCATATATTTTAAACTTTAACTATGAAAGTTTTCGTTATTTTTTATTTTTAGATTAACGGCTGTTTCACGTGATGGAAAGTGAAGGTGTGGTCATGGATGGTATACGCTAGTCTTGAAGGTGTCATTTTACTGTAACTATGTAAAAAAATGTATGTAAAAAATAATATTTAGTTACTACTATCAAATTTATTTATTTAATTTTTAACGTTACCATGTGACAGAACGAACATTAAGTCGTGCGCCTGGTGGTGAGCGACACGCCTATTCATAACAGTTACATTGCCACTCAGAGCTTTAAATCACAAAGATCTGAGGGGCACTGCCACTGCGCCCGTCTTCCTGAGACACAAGTTGACAAGTTTCATGTACCTGTAATTTCACCAGCACCCTGTCCCTTCAAAACCGTAACACAGTAATGATCACATTACCGCTCGGCGGCAGAAATAGGTAAGGTGGCAGTACTTCCGTGGACGGACTCGTGCACAAGGAGCTCTACTGCTACCAATGTTAATTATTATTAATCTACTTCTGGGCACTGGTCTCCTCGAAGGAGCCTTAGACCATTATCCAAAGCACAGGCCTACTTGGGGTTGGAGCTTCACAAGATTTTAATGTAATTAAGAATAATATAACGTAAACGTGCACCTAATTAAGATAACGATACAAATGCTATTGAGTTTATAGGAACAGCAAAAGAAAAAATAAAAAGGAATATGAACCTACTTACAAGTCACAAAGGTTTGTGTTGAGGAACTTCGAGCCTTAAGCATAAGCCGACGCATTTCCCCCCGGTTTTTCCTTATGCTTCTTTCGAACTCCGTAACTTCCTAAATAAAAAGGAGACATTACTGTAATTTTATTACATTCGCTAATATTCCGCCTTCGCGATCCGTGGACGTAGAAGCCACTGCGGGAATCTTATTTCTTTTACGACGATATGGCCTCAAGGAATGTGTTTATTTATATAAGTATTATTTGTTATTTATATATTATTTAGTAGCAGTAGAGCTCCTTGGTTCATTCAGGGAAGTACTTCCACCTTACTTATTTCTGCCGCCAAGCGGTAATGTGAGCACTACTTGTGTTCCGGTTTTGATTTGAAGGGACAGGTCGCTGGTAAAATTGCAGGCATCAACTTATGTCTCCAGATGACAGGCGCAGTGATAGTGTCCTTCAGATCTTCGCGATTTAAAGCTCTCAGTGGCACTGCAACTGCTATGGAGAGGCCTGTCCTTGGTGTCATAAAAAAAGACGGTGAAAAAGATTTTAGCAAGCTTTTGATGACACTAGTTTTAAGACATTTATATAACTTATATAAAATATACAATAATAATGCATTGAACACTTATAGGTAAGTAGGTTGGAAACATTGACGTTCCTTGCACTGAAGTAAGTAGTTCGTTTTGAATTCTACCATATTAATTTGAAAATTACAGAAAGCGAGCATCCAAAAATCGTTTTTCCGTCAGGTCTCTGGTACCACTCTATATTTATGGACATTAATATCTTCAATTGAGTACAAATTATTTATTACAAATAAAAACGTGGTTTCAATGTGACGTATAACACATTTTCCTAAAGTAACGCGTTAGGGAAAAAAATCCCCACACCGTTACTTGCAACTCTGAGGCAAATGACGAATAATGATAGGAATTTCTTTCTCCTGAAATTGCTTGTACCGCATCATTTGTTTACATCAGATGAGGAGACTATTTTCTTTTCACTCCAGCCCACATTTATAAAATGGTCCATGTGACTGTAGAAATTCAATGTTTGTAAGTGGTAGACAATCTAGGGGTTAAGATGGGGGGATGATGCCTGTTATAAGGCAGACGGCATTTGGGCGGCAGCTCAGAGCGGCGGCGGCTCTGCTCCGAATACGACGTGTTCTGAGTATCGCGTGAAAACTTTTCATAACTTTCGTCGGATTTGTACGTGAATTTTTAAATCTGCTCTTCTTTCAACGTGCGCTATTTCAAGCCTTTCCTTTGGTAAGAATGACGGAATAATATGAATGTGCTTTGTGGATGTCTCTTGAGTTTTATTTCTTTTGCTGTTACAGACTTAATAAACGTTAAATACTTACTTAATACCTCGAATTCTAATTGATTGAATTTATAAATCTTTGAGTCTCTTTTATATTTGAAGAAAATAATACTTAACAGTGTTGTTGGTATAACACAAATATGTAGTTTTTTTCTTAACGTCAAATCGTTATATTATTTAAATAATGCAATTTCCACTGGCTTCTATAAAAACGGGTTATTCTTTGTCATGAAGACTCAAAGCCTTGCAGTCTTTTTTTCTTTTTGCATACTGTCAACAGTCCTCTGCAGAAGCTGCCTGTCTAGCAAACAATGTTGAGCTAATTTCGCCTTTCCACGTTCGCATATCGCTTCACTCTGAAAAGCGCTTGATTTTATAATAAAAAGGGATAAATGGGAGTTGAATGTACGTACTTACCCGCTTACCCGTTGACGTGGAGACGCAGGTTGCTTTTGCCTCTTTTAAGAGGGGAAATAAAAACCTTGCCTTGAAGTTTGTTGACGTGTGCTCAGACTGAGTAGAGTCGCATAGCAGTTATAGTACCGTTTTGTGCCTATTTGTGCTCATTAATGAGGGTGAATCGAGCCCTTTTATGCTAAAGTGGTTCGTTTGTGCAACCACGTGTGATTACAAGCAGAACTTTTGCTTTTTAAACATTTTAAAACGCAAAAATGTACGATATAAAAGTGCTGTTTTCGCTGTTTGAATATAGTCTGCTGATTTATGAAAATATCGATAGGATTTTTATTGCATTAATGTCGTTTATTTTAAGTCCTGTAATGTTACTCAATAAATTATAATTTTAACGTAAATTGATTTGGGCATAGCAATTTTTAACGTAGAACAA